TGTGTCTTGTAATATTTCAAGAAGAATGTTACCTGATTTGCTGGTATATGCATTTAAACCATTAATAACTGCTTTTAACTTGACTGTTTTTTTATATATTAAATTTAAGAGTAAGAAATACATACAGTACACTGTCTTAATCATTCATTAAAAACTAAAATACAATTATTTTTTTTATCTATCAGAAATTGACAACTTAATAAAAGCTGTATTATTGGTAATATCTTTGTTACTCCTTAAACTATAATAGTACTTACATATGAAGGCAAAATTTCATGGCACTTAATCAACATAAACTACAATAAAAGTATTTTGAAATTATTTAAACTCATATTTAACACCTTTATAAGATACTAGCCATTAACCACCCGCTTCACTGAGTATTTAACGATGTTGTATAAATGTATACTGTTTACAAATGTATGAATTATTGATATCTAGTATTAAGAATTTGATTGTATTGAAAAATATATTTATAGCTGTAACTCTAACCTCTTGATATAAAAAGGGCATAAATTAAAATATCTAATTTTTATTTATATCTAAAATAGAAGTAGAAAGATTTTTTTTTGAGCTCACTAAACCTAATAATCAAGTGAATTTTCACCAAAGGAACTTTCAGTGGATCTCTACTCCATAAAATAAACATGCGTGCTAAATTTCAAGTCTAAATCTAAAAGAGCAAAAACGGAATTTTTATCATCAATACCTAGTTGAGAGCATTCTTAGCGGATTCCAATTCAACAAAAGAGACATGCAAACCAACTTTTATTATTATAGTCTCAGCAGTTTGAAAACGGGAATTTCGTTTATCAATACGCCCTAATAACTCTTTCCGCTTCCTCCTGGAGTTGATTTCCGTAAAATCCATTCTTAGTGGAACTCTATTCAACTAAAGAAACGTGCTCAACAAATTTCAAGTAAATGGGTTAAATTCAAAAACAGAAATGTTTCTATAACACGCCTTAATCCCTCGCAACCCAACTCCTTAGAGGGTCCGTTTTCGCAAAATCTTTGTAAAATGGAACTCAATTCCATGAACGGAACATACCTTCTAACTTTCAAACAGGTGGGTCTATTAGTTGAAAAGCCGAAATATTTATCTATTACGCCTCTTAACCCCCTCAGTGACCCTTGGAGATTAATTACCCCCAAAACTATTTTGTAGCGGATCTCTACACCATTAAAGAAATCCGCTCACCAAATTTTAAGACCGTGCGTCTAATAGTTTAAAAATGGAAATAATTATCTATAACGGCACTTAATCCCCCGCAACGCCACTTCGGAAGAAATTTTCACAAAACCCATCTTATAGCTGATCTCTACTCAATGAATGGAATCTGGTTACTCAATTTCAAGATTTTACGTCTAATAGTTTAAAAAGGAGTTAATATCCTATAACGCCACTTAATTCTCCAGTACGCCACTTGGGAGTTGATTTTCACTAAACCCATTTTGTTGCGGATTTGTACTCTATGAAAGGAATTCGCTTATCAAATTTCAAGAGTGTACGTCTACAAGTTTAAAAATGGAAATAATTATGCATAACGCCTCTTAAGCGCCCTCAACGTCTCTTGGAGGTCAAATTTCGTAAAAATCATTATGTAGGGAATCTCTACTTTATGAAAGAAATCTGTGTACCAAGTTTTTTTCAAGACTGTACATCTAATAGTTTAATAATGGAAATAATTATCTATAACGCCACTTAAACCCCCGTAACGCCCCTTGGGATTCAATCTTTTCAAAATCCGTTCTTAGCTGATGTCTACTCCATGAAGAGAACCTACCTACCAAATTTCAAATATGTAGGTTTAATAGTTCGGGAGATATCGTGATTAGTCAGTGAATCGCTTTGCTCCTTTATATATATAGATATTACAATATAATTACTAAAGTTATACTTATTAAACTGCTGTATAATATTATATTTGAATTTTTTGAATTGAAAAGTTTATTTTTGCTCAAAAATGACATCAATTACTCAAGTAAGTCAATCACATTGCATGTTTTTTCAGGTAATTTATGATGAAATGGAACAGGAATGGAAAATGAAACCAGTATTAACAAGAAATTTTAGGCATTTGTAAGTATCAACGAATTACAGAGGATTTTAAAGCTTATTTCCGTAAACCCCAAGCAGATACTTAATAGAATACAAGAAACATTTCACCAAAATTTTAAAAAAAAGATAATTATTTTTTTTATGGTGTGTGCACAGCGTGGAGTAAAATGTTAGGCAATTAGAATTAATGATGGCTAATTAAGTAGAACTAATTAAAATGGTACAAAAATGTTAAATAGCATTATTTTTATTTAAAAGTTGTGTCATTCTTTACAAATTAACTTAATTAACTAAGATAGAAAATTAAATGACATTTATTTGAAATAAAGTTCTTATAGGAATACTCAGATCATTTTTAGACATTTTGAACTAAACTTACTTTTAAAGGAAACTGAAATTAATTTACACGAAACTTTAAATATAATTTTATCTACGAGTAATTATTAAAGGTTAATGAATAACAAAAATATAGTAAAAATTTTAATCATAACTAAATATCTTTTAATAAATTTAATATTGGCATAAAATGATTTTCGTACAGTTTGTAATAATTCTCAATTTAAAAAAATCGTAGTACGCAGTTAATAGTCTACCATTAAATTGAGAATATAATTTTACCACATTTAGGAAGCCGTTGGCTGTAGATACCTTGCTGAATAGCAGAATATATTTTTAAGCAAATTTTATTCAAGAAAAATTGAAAGAGATTTTCTCTTTCTTTCTAAGTATACATTCATATCTTAGAATAACATTCATGTAGATGACGCATCAAAAATGATTATCTTTCTCAACAATGGCAACATTTGATGAGTTTTGTCTAGACTGCCTTATTTAACATTTTTTTCATTAAAGCATAAAAGAAATCTTCTACAAATGTTTAAGATATCTGAAATTCTGATTTATTAATAACAATCCCTCTTATATGTGATTGATATTTTTAACATTAATTATTTTGCAATATTAGTTGGTGTTTTCTCACAGAAAAAAATTGCAATCTAATTTACAGTAAAAAAGATATATTTTATGAAAAAGTGCAATAATTAAATCTAATCAATATAAAGAAATAATTTAAGAACCCCCCTCGACTGTGGTTTAAAATCACCATTTTCATTAAAAAAATCTAAATTTATTCTATAGTCTATTTTTGTAGCATGTTTAATAAGCTTTCTAAAACTCGTACTTTTAATTCTGAGTCAGTTAGAAAAAAAGTTATAGCTGTTTTTGTTTGAGGTAGTAAGCCCAAATAGAAACCGGAAGTATGAATTTTAGGTTGATTTTCACAGGCAAAATGAAATTTTTATTCATTAAAAATATTTTAACGAATTATTTTTTATGTTTAGTAAACTTTATTTCACTTTATAAATGTTTTAATAAATATTTTTTGCTTTTAAATAGGCAAGAGTTAAATGATTGCAATGTTGGTTTGATTTAAACGATTTGCTATCTTTTTATCATTTGTGTTCAAAACTAGATATCTTTATAACTTTATTTTATTAGTACTTTTATATAGAGTTATAGTTATTTTGTTAATTAAATTAAAGTTGTCATGTCAAAACCCAGATCAATGACGCCAAAAAAGAAGATATTTCCAGAGAACAATATTTGTTGTAGAAACGTCGATAGAAATATCAACGGATCTTCCAAATTCAGTCATTAATTCTATTAAAAAGACTTATAAGGAACTTTGTGATCAAAATCTACTAAGAACGGGAAAGTTCATAACTGCAATGAAAATCTTAACAATGACGTGTGGAGTATAATCCCGAAAGACAACTTTGTCAAGCAACAAACACTCCGCTTAAGAAATTATATCACAATAATACTTTTTATTTCTGGGTTTGCTGGTCTATTACCTATACTTTAAAAGTTAGGACTGAAATTATGTTCTGAAATGAAAGGATTTTTTTGGTATCTCGACAAAACGAGAATTGTTGATTCTACGAGGCATTCTAAACCAGATAAGAAACTGTCTCGTAAAAAAAGAAAGGCCCTTCAAAACTGTAAAAGTTTGAAGTATAAGGTTCATGAAGGCACAACATACAAATCTGGGGAGTTTTAAAACCTTCCTAAATCATTAAAAAGTTTTATTGCAAATATAAACCTTATTTTGCATTTTGTGAAGAATGTTATTTTTCAACATAATGGTTAACGGTAAGAGTGATATTTCTTAAAGTAAATGAAATCTTCTTATGAAACTTTTTGAGTTTGTTCTTTGTATTATAATGAATGCTTTCTGCTAAAAAAAAAAAAAAAGCTAAGGGTAGTTTTTCAAGTAAGGTATTTTTTTATGAAATTTTATATGAAAAAAAAAAAGGTTTTTTTAAGAAAATTCTGGGTTTTTTCATCTCAAACACCTGTATTTCATAATTTTACAGTAGAACTTGAGCTTTTTTAGTATAAAGCATAGTTAAAAGTTAAAGAATTGTATTCCAGCAAACATTTTATTTATTTTTGTGATACATATTTTTTTCGAGTTGTTTGCAAAAGTGTAATTTTTTGTAATATTTTGGTAGAAATTTCTCAATATTTTAAAAAAAATATACTTTCAAAAAATTTTTCTTGGTGTGTTTTCATAGTTTTGCAACAGACTTATAAAAAACCACTAAATGATTATTTAAGTAAAACTTTCGAAATTTGTCTCCGAACAAGTAATATAAAATATATATATATATATATATATATAACAAGTAATATAAAAAAATTAAGCCAATTCCTACTTAGATCAACAAAGAAAAATGTTCTTTTAGTTATTTTTCATTAAATAATTACAATTAATATAAAAATATGTTTATACATAGGACCGAATCCCAGAATTAAGTGGCAAAAAAGAAAGTGATTTTCCTTTCTATATAGGGTGTAAAACTATTATTTGGTTTCTTACTATTTATTAATTAAATTTCGTTATCCCAAAAAGAAATCACATTTTCAGAAATTAGGTCATCCAAGGTGGGATTCAAACCCACGACCTTTGGATTAAAAGTCCAATGCGCAATCAATCCATTGCGCTACAGGGACACAACGAGTGATTTTCCTTTTTATAAATGCTGTTAGACTATTATTTTTGTCTTTTACTATTTATTCCTTAATTTAAAAAATAATGAAATAATATTTGAAAAAAATTCTATTAACATCAAAAGGTCATCCACTACAAATTTTAAAAAAAATGTTCTTGAACTTGACTGGATGAATAAAAAGTATTTTATTAATGATTGAAAAAAATTTAACAAGATAAATATACATAGAAATAAATATATATAAGGATAGTTTGAACTAATAGTAGGAATTTAAAAAAATAATATATATATATCAACAAATACTGATTTGATTGACACAAAATTTGGCAGTGAAGTAGCATATATATTTATACATAAAACAAAATCAATAATTATACACAGAAATGAAAACAATATTAAATTTGTGTAAGTTATCAGATAATGTCATCCTGGAGACTTAAACAGAATTATGTATAAAGAGAAAATAAACAGCATAAAATAAAAAAAGGGCATTAATAGGGTATGTGATACCCCCTCATCTATATGCAAAGTCTGCACCTTCTGACCATGCTTTCAATTAGGTGGTCAACCACCGCAGAATTAAGCAATCGCCATTATTCTTGTACAGCAGTTTCCAGCTCAATAAGAGTGGCTGGAGGTAGGAAACGTGGAGACACAGCACGGCAGAGAGCATCCCAAAGATTTTCAATGGTATTAAGGTCGGCGAATATGCTGTACACGCCATACGCGCAATCCCTTCACTCTTCAGGTAGTCATCAACGGTGTTAGCTCTATGCGGACGTGTGTTATCGTCCATTAAAACAAAAGTAGGGCCAAATGCTGCAGCGTACAATCTCACAATGGGTTCTAGGACTTCATCTCGATACCGGACATCTGTCACAGAACTCCGTTTAAAGATGTGAAGGTCGGTGCGGTATCCTAATGAAATCCCTGCCCACACCATAATGCTTCCGCATCGGAATGCGTGATGTTCGGTAATGTTTTGGGGCTGATTGCGTGTTCCTTGTTTACGCCATATCCTTATACGCTTGTCATCTGGCTCCAGAGCAAATCTTGAATCATCAGTAAACATGACATTTCCCTAGTCAGACACAGTCCATTTGCTATGTTCCCGGTACCACTTTAATCATGCCCCTCCTGATTGGACGGATAGAGGGAACACAAACTCAAGGTACCTGGCATACAGTCCATTCATATGTAATTTTCGGCGAACTGTAGCTGTAGATATAGCCTTACCAATGGACACTGTAACCATAGATGTTACACGTGTGAAGCTCGCTCTGCGATTCAGTTTGGCTACAATAGCAATATATTGATTTTCCGCGGAGATTGTAACCCCTGGGCGACTGCCTACGGGCCTTCAGACAACTGACTGTGTGGTTTTTAAACATATATATTTTTTAATTTCGTAGATTATCGGGAACAAAAAATAGTAAAAGATGAATTACTAAATAAATACTCAGCATTAAATAATAAAAAAAAATTATTAAAAACAATTACTTAATTAAGTCTATGGTACTGTATGCATGGAGTTAAAATCAAACAGTAAAAAAAATCAAGGGATGTGGGGGACGATCCTTGTGTGCTCCACTGACATTGGGTGAACCGGAACAGATTGAAAAAATTAGAAGTAGATGCAACCTGTAAAAGTCTACCCTCCCCTGCCTTAAAATGTCTAATTTGATGTCCAAATGGGTCCTACATATTCTCGATTGGTGGCAAATCTGGGGATCGAGCTGGTCAGAGAAGGATGGGATGGTGAAGGAGGTTGTCCTGTGAAATATTTTTGTGTGTAAGAACTTTCGTGTGCAGTATTACTTACTTTAACGATCATATTCTCTAAATACCATAATAAATCGTAGAATTCATTCATTTTATATTCTTAAACAGGCTTGTCAAGTTATTTCATGAAATAACATTCTTCACCATTTTCTTGTAACATACATACAAAGGGGAGAGAATCAAACATATTATTATTACTTATAACTTATTTCCTCTGAATATAAATTATTTGATATAGAAAACACAGACATAAAATAATTTATTTTTTTCTGGTATTGGTATTTAATGTAGAAAATACAAGTTTCAAATACTGTAACAATCTTGTTGATGATTGTCTTATAATGTTTTACATATTATATGCATACAAGGTTACGTAATAAAAGCATTGCTATAATGTAATTTATATATTCACAGTTTAAAAAAAATAACTCATAAATACCGTATGGGATTTGTAACTTCTTGCTTAAAGTTATTGCAGCATCTGAAGGCATAAATAAAAATTTGAGCGATGCATACATTTAATAGTTTTTCTTCAAAAATACATGAGATAATATTATGCCCGTATTCAAAATGCCTTATAATTGTATTTCTGAATATGTTTATGGTAAAAAAAGATTAGTTGTAGTGTGCGCTTATAATTCAGGATTTTCTTTTTCGCATACCAGCAATGTTTTGAAAACGAGTTTAGAAATAAATGTACAGTTAAAAATTGAAGTATAAGTGAATTGTGGTCTGAACTATATATACAGGCAAAATATTATTATTATAGAAGCATTTTTCGCACAAAGAAGATTCTTTTGAAAATGGGTCCTTCTATATCCATTTTTGGTCAAAATATTGTACTTGAATAATTTTTTATTGTATTACTATTCTTAAAACAATTTTATATACATTTTCTAATCTAAGTGACACTAAATATCATTAATATTATCCATTTATATGCTTTTGCAAAATCACGTAGTCGGATACCTTAAGACCCAACTTGCACAACTGTGCGGGTTACTTATTCTTAAAAGTTTTTGTTTCTGAAATTCTCGTATGTTCGAAAAGCCCGAAACGGACGACTGAGCAAGTTTTCAGAAAGTGTAAAATATCACATTTTTTTTAACAGACGTTTGTTGTTTTCTCTCTTTTACTTCCGCTGGCAAGTCTATCTGTGTTTACAAATACAACGAAAACACGTCACCTTTTAATCTGTCAAAAAAAGATGATTATTGCTTGGGTACACATTTCTTTCTAAATGTTTAAATAACTGTAAAACAGTAAACATATTAATTATGCTGCATTAATGTTGATTGTAGAACCCAAGATTTCGTTACCTGCTCAATCGTGCGTCTTGGGTGTTACTTCTGTAACTGTAGATGGGAAGGTAAGTGCTTACCAAGCAAGATTTTTTCTGTTTGAATAATTTTTATGAAAGGCTAAAAAAAAAACGAAATATATATATATATATATATATATATATATATATATATATATATATATATATATATATATATATATATATATATTGTTTTATAATTAATACTACATTTTCTTGGGAGTTATCATGGGCAAGTTCCTTTTTTTTTTTTCTCCATCTTGCTCCTTTTTTGTGTGACCGCAGTAGCCTAGTAGTCAAGGTAACGGACCTTTACATTTGCGTATCATGAGTTCAAACCTAGCACCACTGAAGACCCGCTGTGTAGGGGCGCAATGCATGTTAACCAATTTATGCCGTGTGTTCCATTGTGAAAGGCTAAATAAAAACGAAATATATATATATATATATATATATATATATATATATATATATATATATATATATATATTGTTTTATAATTAATACTACATTTTCTTGGGAGTTATCATGGGCAAGTTCCTTTTTTTTCTCCATCTTGCTCCTTTTTGTGTGACCGCAGTAGCCTAGTAGTCAAGGTAATGGACCTTTACATTTGCGTATCATGAGTTCAAACCTAGCACCACTGAAGACCCGCTGTGTAGGGGCGCAATGCATGTTAACCAATTTATGCCGTGTGTTCCATTGTTAGAACAGCTGGCGAGTGAAAGTTTTTTGAAGATTATCATTTCAAAATTGCATTTGTGGTTGGATTTGTCACTTTAACCGGCTTCGTAGGGGCATAGCAATTTCGTTTAAAACCCCTTCAGTTAGTCCCTCTTGTAGATATTTGCCTTCAAAGAGGTTGTGAAGGTTTGCATATATTTAAACCTCCGATGTAAATGGGCAAAATCTGTTGACAGCTCAAACGTCCTCGCGTTGGTGAGGTGGAGAAATTAGGGGAGAGTGGTGCAAGTTCAGGTGTTGTCCTCGACATTTGACTACTGTTTAAAATGATAAGGTCTGTCGCCAAAAGCCTCACTCGCTTTCTTTTGTTATTAATTTTCCATTTTATACATTTATTGAAGGGTATGGCATTTTCATTTTCTATACAAATATTTGCATCGATACCTTTTTCTCCCCCACCACCACAAATACTGGTTTTTCAATGATAGTTGGCAAGGTTTAATTAAATATTCTGTTATTTATTTTTTTAAAATAATACATTTTTCTGTTATATTTTATTATTTTTATGGAATATTGTGTTAAATCAAACCGAAACTTTTTCAGGTGTCTAAAAGGAAAGTAATTCTCACACAATAAGAAAATTTGCAATTGATGAATAAATCAGATTCTGAACTTATTGATCTCTCGGATGATGACTATGCTGTTGACAAAGCATATGAACCACGCATATTGGAAGGAGAATCAAATTCATATATGCTTTCATCTCTTCAGTGTGTGGATAAATGAGTACCAGGTTTTCTTGGAGACTAAACACTGGTGGTTCATGCACCTCAGCGAACTAGTTCTCGTATACTAAGATTGGCACAGTAGGCCTTGGCCCTCTTGGGCTGTTGCTCCACTGAGCTTAGTATATACATGACAAGTTTGAATAATCTATTGTTTAATGATTATCTGGTACAACTTTTTCAATATGGCTGCCACTTGGCGGACAATCCAATAGAAGAATAGACATAAACATAGCAAGGAGTCACCAGTGCGCTTCTAGATTATTTTCTCTCTTACCCGGCACTCTCTGCCTTTAATTCTTTTGTGGACCTTGGGAAGACTACTTCCCTACTACATAATCTTACAAAATGCATCGTTGGGAAGCGCAAAACCCATTATAATATATTGCCTTTGTTATGATAACGGTGGAAAGACTAATTCCCATACTA